TTTGTAGACTATGAAAAATGTCATAGCTGACAGAAATTAGGATGGAGAGAAAAATATGCATTTCTCATTTGACATTCTGACAACTCATTAGATACTGTCTCATTGTGCTAGATAGAGAAATAGAAATTTAAATAAATTATTTAATATGGTGTAGATAACTCCCAGAAACACTAAATAATAGTAAAACTAAGAAAAGTTGAGTTTGGGGAAGCAACAATATAAATAGATAATTTTGCTAAATTTATTAATGTCATTAGAGTGTTTAAAATAAACAAATTAAGAAACAGAGGCAAAAGTATATTAGAATTTTGTTTTTATGGGAACCAATAACACTAACATCAGCAGCACTTAAAAACAAAAATGTCTACTTTAAGGAGTTTGGGCTGGGGGTTGGGCAGGGATAGTTGTATACTTTTATTCAAGCATAATTCATTTTACCATGTGTTCCTACTGCATTTACAATTATAAAATAACTTTCAGATTTATTATGTAGTAAGTCTGAATATTAGGGAATTGTTAGGCAATGTGATTGTTTTATCAATCAAACACTTTACAAAACCTCTGGGTTGTAAGATGTTGGGCAAAATTGGAATGTGTCCATCAGTCTAACAAATTAAGAAGAATGTCCCCAAAGCTTAACAGCACATGTACAGGCTACAGACATCATTATGGGCACAGAGAAGCATTATAGGCATCAGGGGGGGAAAAAAAGAGGGTACAACGGCTATTTCCCCTGCTTTGAAGCTTTGCCAAATCCACTGGTCTGTGCAGGGAACTATATTTGTTACATATGGAGTTTGGGGAGTCATTACTGCTTTGCCTTGATCACAGCAGTCTGTTTACAGCTCCGTTTATATTTCTCCTAGCCTGCAGGGATCCCGGTGTTCTGTCTCCTGTGAAGATGGGCAGTACTTCAATGGCCAGGACTGCCAGCCCTGCCACCGCTTCTGCGCCACTTGCGCTGGTACCTTCCACGGTTCTTTTGTTCCTTCTCCTGGTTCTGGTCTTGCTCTGGTTTTAGCCATCACTCCTGCAACCCATTTGATAATTGTAAAGGAAATTCTAGAGAAACATATTTCTTTTTTGGTAATCATGCATGTATTCTCGCTCAAACAGTCATAAGCATTCTGTCCTTGTTGAGAAACTTAAATAACCCGGTGATATCTTCTCTTCTTTCGAAAGAGAGTGGATATTTTTAGCAAATAGGTTCCATTTAAACGGGGGTTGGGGGGGTGGAGGGGTTCCCAAGGAAATTAAGAAAAAACACAAATATTAAATTATTGCTCTTAAAATAGTTGCAGATTAATGTCATTTTTGCAAGCTGTTAAAGAAGCAGCCCCATTATGGAACCGCCACTGAGATTCCATTTCTGTTTCCTGCCTTTGTCTTCCTTTCAAGGGGCAGGAGCTGACGGGTGCATTAACTGCATGGAGGGTTACTTCATGGAGGATGGGAGATGCGTGCAGAGTTGTAGCATCAGCTATTACTCTGACCACTCTTCAGAGAATGGATACAAATCCTGCAAAAAGTAAGTGAATCTGCCCCCTCAGCCCTAGCATTTAGGACTGGGCTCCTTATGTGGCTGCTTTCATAAATAATAAGAAAACTTAGGATTTTTAATGATAAAATCAGGTTTAAACATTTACCTATGGACACTGCCCTGCACCTTTAACTCAACTTATCTTTGATATTTTTATTTTTTCTAATGCAGGAGCACCTTAAAACCTCTAAAGTAATATTTCTATTTCAAGTACCTTCTACATCCCCTTTAAAAATCACAGTGTCTACCTGCTAGGATTTCTTTAATGTTATCAAATCTAGAAATTATTGTAAGAAAAAATTTTTAAAAGATTTTTAAACTTCACTCTCCCTCTCCAGAGGGAGAGTGAAGTTTAAGACATTAAGAGGTTGCTAGTAAGCATACCTTTTCCTGTGCATGACATGTGAATGGTTAAAAAATTACACATTTTTCCGTAGATGCGATACCAGTTGTTTGACGTGCAATGGCCCAGGGTTCAAGAACTGTACAAGCTGCCCCAGTGGGTATCTCTTAGACTTAGGAATGTGTCAGATGGGAGCCATCTGCAAGGATGGTGAGTACGATTGCTTATTTTGATCTTCTGAGCAAAGTGTGATCTTTCTACTTTAAGGTCTAATATTTTTCCACTTAAAACAAGCATGTATCAGATAGGACACACTCAACATCTTGTTGGCATTCATTCATCTTGAACTTATGCCTTTAATGGGTTAATTGTTTGCTCTTGGTTTGAATTGCAAGAAGAAATAAATCACCAATAGTCCCACTAGCCAGATGGCTCCAGCTAATTTTTTTTTAATTAATAAACTTTATTTTTTAGAGCAGTTTTAGATTGATAGCAAAATTGAATGTAAAGTTCAGAGATTTCCCCTATACTCCCTACCCCCACACATGCACAGCCTCCCGACTATCAATCTGAGACCAGAGTGGTGAATTTTTTATAACTGATGAGCCTACATTGTCACATCATTATCACCCAAAGTCCACAGTTTATATTAAGGTTCATTCTTGGTGTTGTACATTCTGTGGGTTTGGTCAAATGTATAATGACACGTATCTACCATTATATTATCAGACAGAGTAGTTTCACTGCCTTAAAAATCCTCTGTGCTCTGCCTACTCATCCCTCCCTCCCCCATCCCTGACAACCACTGATTTTTTTTTTACTGTCTCCATAGATTTGCCTTTTCCAGAATGTTATGTAGTTGGAATTATACCGTATGTAGCCATTTCTAGTTAATTGTTGATATGTTTCTTTCCAGTCTTTTGCCTTGTGTACTTTTTGACAGATGTTTTTAATACCATGGATGTAAAGTTTTGTGTCCTGCTTTTCACACTAAGCATTAGGCATAAACATTATCCTATGTTTTTATGAAGTCTTAGGAAACTTTATTTTTAATGACAGCATAAAACTCAATCATATGAAGATGCTGTAGTTTTTTTGCCACTCTCCTATTCTTTAGACTGTTTATAATTTTGATATATAAATAATAATCAAACAGTATTTGAATCTTTTATTAAACCTGTGAGGCTAGGAATTAATATTCCACTCTTACAAAAGGGAAAATTCAAGGTGTAGAGCTAGAAAGTGTTAGAACCAAGTACAGAGCTTAATACTTATAAATGTTGGTTTGGGTTTTTTTTTTTTGCACCAATAGTTCACAACCAAGATACTAGGACCCCACACCTTCCCCAGAGATTCTGACTGAATTGACCTGGGGTGAAGCCTAAGCATGTATTTTAGCTTCTCTTGACCCTCTCTTAGAAATGAGGCTTCTAATGTGCAGGCAGGTTTGAGGACCACTGCACCGTCCCATTCTCCCTGAAAATTTGGCAAATGCCAAGTCCTCTCACGTCTCTAGCCTCAGTTTCCCCATCTGTGAAATGAATGAATTTAAATTATTCCAACCCCCAACATTTTGTTAACTTTGACTTTCAATATAATTTACGCGGAGGGAGCCCTAAAATGTGCACCTGAATTTTATGCAGAATTGAACTCTTGTTGTTCAAAACCTCTTTGGATCATTATAAAATAGAAAAGGGGAAAAAAATATGCATTCGGAACAGTCAGTGTCATGATCATGGCCCTAGGTTTATTCTTTCCCTTCTCTTGAATATTTTCCATTGTGGAAATGTCACGAGACACAGAGCAGTACTACGGCTGGGAGAACAGGGACTTGGGAATCAGAATGCTGTAGTTCATATCTGGGCTCCAGGCCTCGAGCAGGTTATAAACTTCCCTGGGACTCATTTCTCTCATCTGTAAAAAATAAAAATGATAATACTACTGACCTCAAATGGTTATTCTACAATTCCCTATGAGGAATCTCAAAAAGGCACCAAAAAGAACTGGGCACAATGATGGCACTGATAGAACATCATGTGTGGTCTCATTTCCTTGGAGCATCACAGGTGACTGTGCATCTCCGTGGCTTTTCTGATGTGTGATTGGCCTGGCAAGATGGGCTCAACCCACTCAGGCTGTGTTCCAAGGGCTTCTTGGCAGGGCTGATTCTAACTGCACCATACTGGGGCGAGAGGCCCAGGATGAGGTTACCCAGGGACCATGTAAGTATCACGCTTTAGTTACCAGCAAGTGCCTCCTTATTACCTTTACTTAAAAGCATGGTACCCTCTGTCTGCATATGGCCAGAACTTTTTGTTAGTAACCAGAAAACTGAGGAAGATTTTTAAGTGATCGATGCAGGAAATCCACTATAACTTGAAGTTTTTACCAATAGCACTTGGTACCAGGCATTTCAGAATTTGTGATGTTTTAACTGCTTTCCCTAAACCATGGTGAGCATAGGATAGGTTAAATGGCACTTTGCTAAAAGTGTCAGGATCATGGGCAAAATAGGTCAAAAAATGGGATCCTTGATGGCTCACCAGGCTTTTCAGATCACATAGCAACTGCATTTCAAGATGTGCTATGTATTCTCTTCCAGCTGCCATATTTCTGCGATTCTAAGACATACGTTTTTTTACATTTTAAAGCGTTAAATCAGATGCATCTTGTAATTCATGGTAGTTTACAGCTTCTTTGGACCAGCAGGTTAATATGACAAGTGTCACTGCCCACCTAGGAGACTTGGGCACAGAGATGTCTGTTCAACTGAGGCGCTTAGTTACTACTCATTGTGTTAAATTTATTAATAATTATGGCTCAAAAGAGCTTCAGGAAATTAAACTCCTGTTCAATATCCAAAGGAAGCGTTCTTGCCTAAGCATGGAAGCAAAACAGAATGTTATATAAGTATAACAAATACTTTTAATAAGTATAAAATTAAAATTCTAATTGATAAGAGAATATTGTGCCACAGTTTAATAAGAACCATTTTTTTCTTTCTGTTACTTAAAATGATGGCACATCTTAAGTCCTATGTCTTGGATTCAATGAAATATAGTACAAATGATTGTATACTCTGTGCTCTAGGTAATTCTAGGAAGAAAAATTTCTTGCTTATGTTATTGATTTCTAATTTATTCTTTTTCTAATCTTTTTTTTTTCCTTTCACAAATGGATACCAATCACATTTACCGTTGGACTGCAATATCTCTCCTTGAAAACCAATGCTGTTGACTGAAATCACTGTGGGTGGACCAAATTTCCTCCTTGTTGACTGCTCCTGAATGATCTCTTCCAATCCCCCAATCTACCTCTCTGGCCAATCACAACCTTCTTCCGTGTGTGCACATCATGCCGCTCTCGTCCTCAACTCCCCCTCTCTCTTGCTGACTTCCCGGAAAAGCAACGGAAGAGTCCTGGGCTGAAGGAGGCTTCTGTATGCTTGTGAAAAAGAACAATCTGTGCCAACGGAAGGTTCTTCAACAACTTTGCTGCAAAACATGTACATTCCAAGGCTGAGCAGCCATCTTAGATTTCTTTGTTCCTGTAGACTTATAGATTATTCCGTATTATTAAAAAGAAAAAAAAAAAACAAGCCAAAAAAAAAAAAAAAAAAAAGCAAGCCACCTCTCTCTTTCTTGCTTTGTTTTTCTCTCTCTCTCTCAAGTTTGTGCAGGGAGATGGTGAAATGTTTTGTCAGAACTTAAATGGAAAAAAAAAAAAAGAAAAATAAACCTACAACAAGCCTACCTTTTATAACTGGGTGTTTAGTGCTAAACAGCCAGAACCACAGAGACAGTATTGTATGACCAAAGCATTTGATGCCAAAATTTGACGTTAAAGTAATGATTTGATTTCCTGCCCTGGTTTTGAAGGTCCATTTTTTTTTCCTTTTTCATTTACTTGCCTGTTTCCCCTTTAAGACGCCTAAAAATACCTTTCCAAAACATCGCAAGAGCATACATAGATCAAAATGAAACAGAAAGCTCTTGCATCAGTCATTTTTCATGCTTGAGTCCACCATGGGGGGAAATGACAGAAAACTGGACCTGAGGGCATTAGGAACATCCTACAGAGTCATGTTCAGTGTCATTTGTGTTAGTATGTCACAGTTGGATGTTGCTACTTTCCACACATAATTGACTTCATGCATTATGTACTGGTTTTTGCGTTTTACTCACTTGATAAGTCTGCTCCACTGGTTTCATCATCAGATAGACTTGCTGCTACTGGCTTTTCCATTGTAGATTGGGTTATTTTACACACAGTTCGTCAAATGGGATTGCTCTGTATAGTCAAATTAGTGATGGACAGATGGGCAGAATGCAGAGATACATAAAAGAGCTGAGACGGATCCAGCTTCCCTGACATCCAGAATGTTAACTTTGTAGACCCTGCACAATCTCTTGGTGCTATCTAGCCATTATCCCCATAGAATTTTTTTTAAAGGCCATCAGAAATTCCATTTATCGTGGTGGGAAACATTTTTGGGTATGATACAGGAAATTTCTTCCTGGAATCAAAAGTTTCTAAGAGGTCCTGTATTTTTTAAGAAATGGAATTTATTTAAATAATATTTAAGCTCGTGCCCATGTTGGCCAAGCAACTTTTTTCAATGGTGCTTATTAGAAGTTTTTTCATCTTGTCATTTTAAGAAAATAAAACTGGAAATTAAATATGGGTGGCATGATTGTACCCTCCTGATTCTCTTATTTTCCCACTCTTCTGTCCTTCTATAACTGTGCCATGCTGTTACACACCTGTCCACTGAATGTCATTGAAATCATCTATTTTTGTTTGTTTGTTTTAGAAATATTTTCACTGGTTTCCTGTGACTCCCTAAACATTTCATGAAAACTAGCAGACTGAATTATGAGAAAACTGTTTCAGATCAGTAGTCAGAAACAATGTAACCTTTTAGATCTTTTCACAGTTTCTCTCTTGAGGGGAGGGTAGACTGATGGCAGATTCTTCATTTTTCATATCTAAGCTCCGTTGGTGACCTCATTTACTTAGGGAGAGACCAGCCATCTTGAGGCTTTACACTTCTGAGAGCCTCACTTCCAAGATGCCACTGGCTTCATAGCTAAAAGGAGGAATGGTGTCAATACAGACTATCCCAGGAAAAAGATGAGAAGTGGGTGCTAAGGTCCCCATCCAAGCAGCAAGGTAGTAAAAAGCTTGCCTTGAAAATATCCCTAGACGTC